TTTACATGATACGTGATCCCCCGGGTTGTGACTCGCCGCGTCAGACTGCGAGCAGCGGGGTCTATCCGGAGGCCGGTCAGGCTGGGCAGTGGGAACATTAATCCTTGGAATCACCTCAGAGTAACTGCAGCTTCTCAAATTAATAATGTATAGGCCTCATTTGTAAGATAGTGAAGGTAGGTGTTTCCCTTATAATATTTAGGGAAACAGCTCGTCCTCATAAACAGTGGTCAAATTCTTGTTAAAACAAACATGTTGATTTGAAGTACGGTACGATCACCAAGTTCAAGTATGTTTATTGAGATAAGCAATAAATACATCTCAAAGGGATAGAGTAGCTTAGGCTATTTCTTTCCCCCTGTTAAGGTATGGAGGTACGATCACCACAATCAGAAAACAAACAAAACATTTATATTATTCGTTTAGGCATATTGTGTTTTACTTAGTAATAGCCGAAAATGTATTTGGTTGACAAAATACAGCTAGAAGCAATACTCACACCGGAAACAATAACAAAAAAGCAGTAAGCTTGTTTAGGCTGCGCTTTGTTTTAAATTGTTGGGAAACAAAGCTGATTTTCATTAGCGACATTTATAGTCTTAGTGAAACATATGGTAAGTCTACCAGGATGACTTGGAAGTTAAGTATACGGAATGCTAACTCTTTCTCATCTCCCCCTCTTCCCTTCTAACTCTCTCCCCCTCGCTCTACCTTCCATCTCTCTTTACTCTTTCGCCCACGTATTCTTTCCCCCACGTACTCTTTCCCCTCGCACTCTTTCCCCTCGCACTCTTTCCCCTCGCACTCTTTCCCCTCGCACTCTCCCCTCGCACTCTCCCTCGCACTCTTTCCCCTCGCACTCTTTCCCCTCGCACTCTTTCCCCTCGCACTCTTTCCCCTCGCACTCTTTTTCCCCTCGCACTCTTTTTCCCCTCTCGCTTCCCCCCCCCCCCCCCCCCCCCCGCTTTCATCCAGTTCTCCCGCGCATTTTCCTCCCTCCTCGCGCGAATTCTTAACTCCTCAATCTACTGAAACAGATCAGACTAAAAATAAACTTTGTCGGCAATACTAATAGCATACTTCTCATCACTGTGTAATTGAATGTGAATACATACTAGAATTTAAAATAACTAACAAATTTTCAAGAAATTTTCATTTTTAATTCGGGTTGATGAACTATCAAAAATCGTAGCAAAGAATCCAAATATTGCTTACTGTAGTTAGTGCACGGGATGCGCTACCTACCTAGGATGGGATATATAGTAAACTAAAATATAAAAACAGTTATAGATATATTAGATTCCACACTCATTATGTTTATATTTTGAACTAAAACTAGCTTAGCAAACGCATCTAAACATAACAGGCATGTTATTCAATAGAACTAAGTAAAATTGTACTGATGTTAAATCTGAAGTAATCATTCAGATGCATTAATTTAATTAACTTAATTAATGTCATGATGTAAAGATTATCGCTCAGTTATTGCCCGAAACGCTATGCGTGCTAGTGGCCTTACAAGAATGTAAAATCAATTTAATTTCAATGTTCTCTGTTAACCCCAATGTATCTTCTTGTATATAAATAAATAAATAAAGTTATAGCCCAAAATTATAAAAACTTTGCCTTATCGGACGAGGCGTGTCTTGCTTGCTTCAGCCCAATATTAATAATGGTTATTATATAGGCAACCCGACAGCTTTGTGCAGCCTTGTGAAGAAAAAAAAGCATTGTTGAATCAGTCGACCCTGAAAAGACTGTTTTGGCGGTGTTTCTAAACTCTATGGATTGTTTGATTTTTAAATTAATCAACAGGACATAAGTGTTGTTGCTAATGGCGCATTTAATGTGACGAGTTGTAAGAATGACAGGTCATATACAACTCGCCGGTATTCAGACTTGGTAGGAAGAGTAAGGTGTGGGAGATTGATGAAAGAGCCTTTGTAATCGATAAGCACATTCAAGTGACGTCACGGAGCGGTTGTGTAAGAGCCTTTGTCTGCGGTAGGAGTTCATGGTTTGTAGAAATGTTGACTTGAGTATACAAAATATAGGCTAAACACAAACAAAAATCATTTACGAGGAATAAGCTCAAACGAAATGCAGTCCCCCCCCCCCCCTCCCCTGCATTTCGATTGAGCTTATCTATCTAGCCTGTGCCACGGGCTATCTTGCATGTGCCATACCAACCGCTTGCCAAGAAGTAGGGAATCGGAAAGAACAAATCCACAAGGGCCGTGATGAGAATTCGAACCTACGTCCGAGAACATCCCAGACGCTGCCTTAATCGACTGAGCTACGATATGGACAAAAAGAGTTGAAACCAGAAGTTCTATTGAACTTACTTGGATAATGAAGCCTCTCAGAGACACAAACCAGGGTTTTACACGGTAGGGAGTAGGGAATATATAATTATATTCTTGTTGAAGACGCAAGTGGAATCATGGCTAGATTTGTTTTGCATTGATTAATTTATTTGAAGTCTTTAGCTATGATATCTATACAAAATCAGTATTTATTATTATTACTACTACTACTGTATTTTCTACCACAGACGTGGCAATAAGCTTGTGCATTAAGCGCGCGAGTGAGGTGTGAACAAAATATGTAGTTTAGGGAATGTAAGTCCACCTTTTGTCTTCTTGCAAAACTAAGTTAGCTACTAGTTTAGCATTTTCTCCTGATAAATACCGCATCTCATTCCAGAAAAGGCAGAGGGACTCAAGAATGATAACTGCAAACAAGACGACAGGGTTGATTTTATCAAGACATTTAAAATACTGAACAAATTAGAAGATATTAATTCAGACAATAGAGGTGCTTAATAAGGGAACTAATATAATTGAATTTGAAATAGATTATTTAAATTTCAATTTATTGAGTGTATGTAAGTACTGTACACACAAAGGGTTAGGGTAGCTCAAGTTATTCTCATATTAAAACCTGCTTTACGAAATGTAATTCCGTAACAGCATAGATAATAACTTTTTAAATGAGATGTAGGCATTAGCTTGAGTGTGTGTGGCATGAGTGGTGGAGGATGCAGGCCAAGGGTGATAGTGTGGTAGCAAGAGAGGGTACAGGTCGCCAGCAAGGTTGCTTCTTGCTGGGTGACGGCTCCGCTTGCTGCCATATCGCGCGCACACACACACATCCTCTCATATTTGCGCTTTATCTACTGCGTTGAGAGCCATGACTTATAATAATGCTTGAAGCATTTTACCAAGTAGTGATAAGAAAATGGCTCAAGAAAATAATGTTTCTAGATTAATTAGCCCCACTCACTCCTTGAAATAATATATATATATATGCCGGAATTTCATAGCGTTAATTTTATATTTGACATTAATCAACGATTTACCAGTGTCCCGTGTATAAAACCCTATCCACTCATTTGTATTATATCACGCAGAGTTAAAATTCAACAATAAATATAGTCAATACACATTGAATGTATACAGTTGGCAATGTAATCTTGACATGAGTTGCCACAGTCTCTGTATCCGGTGTAGTACGACTAGTTGCCAAGTTTTTTAATACGTCTTTATGACTGGGGGGGGGGGGAAACCCGTTAGTTGTGGATATTTTATATGTACGCTTTTTGGTTAATCAAACAGCTTTGCATATTGCGTTGTCAACCTGAAATGCCTCTTTTTTTTTTTTCCTCCCTTCTGTGAGCTATGGGTTTCACGAAGGTTTAGTGTCATATGCAGCAAGGATGCACTTGGGGCTGGAATGGCAAAAGGAGCTAGGGGCACTGTTTTTGTCTAGCACTGTTTTTGTCACCCCCCCCCCCATCCTTATTATTCGTGCCCCCTTCTACTCGCTGGTCTAGCCCCTTCTACTCACTGTTCTTGCCCCCTTCTATTCACTGTTCTTGGCCCCCTTCTACTCGCTGTTCTTGCCCCTTCTACTCACTGGTCTTGCACTGTCTACTCACTGGTCTTGCCCTGTCTACTCACTGGTCTTGCCCCTTCTACTCACTGGTCTTGCCCCTTTCTACTCACTGTTCTTGCCCCTTCTACTTACTGTTCTTGCTCTCCCCCCTACTCACTGTTCTTGCCCCCCCCCTACTCACTGTTCTTGCCCCCTACCCACTGTTCTTGCCCCCATACCCACTGTTCTTGCCCCCTCCCTAACTCTATTCTTACCCCTATTTATTCATCATTGTCTCGGTGGTAGTTTATTCACTGTGGGGTGCTCCATCCTAATTCACTGTCCTTGTCCCTTGTCCCTTGTTTATTCAGTGTTCTTGTCTCCTTGCTCACTGTTCTTGGTTTTCCATATTGACTGTTCTTGACCCTTCAACCATTCATTATTCCTGATCCCTTACTCTTAATCACTATTCTTGATTCCTTACCCTTTTTCACTATTCTTGATCCCATACCTACTATTCTTGATCCCTTACTATTCTTGATCCCTTACCCACTATTCATGATCCCTTACCCACTATTCTTGATCCCTTACTCACTATTTTTGATCCCTTACCCCTTATTCACTGTTCTTGATCCCTCACCATTATTCACTGTTCTTAAATACTTTGCCATTATTTGCTGTTTTTTATTATTATTTGCTGTTCTTGGTCAATCTTCTTCGTTATTCTTGCTGCTTGCCTACTTTTCTTCTTCGACCCCACGTGGTGTTCTGGCCCACCATAATATTTGTGATTCTTGTCCACAGAATTATTTACAGTTCTTGCCCTCCCTATTATTTGCAATTTTTTGCATAATGCCAGTACTGTACCTCAAAACATAGTACAGCAATATCTTAACAAAATAAGCTTGAAAAAATACGAGGGAATGTGCTAGATAAGAATGTTAACTAAAAGGAATGTGCAAAAGCACCAAATAAGGGGAGTATGTCAACAGTAAATAATGGGTACGTTCATGAACAGCAAATTAATGGCAGTGGAGAAGAATAGCTAATAGTGCATTAAGAAGCCACACTGAAATTAAATCGTGTGATAATTAATTTACTTTTCATGTCTGTTGTTTTTCCAGACTGGAGAGCTACTCTTGTAAGATGGTGGGTCAGGAGAAGGCATTATACAAGAGGTTCCACAGTTTCTCTGGAGTAAATGACTTGCAGGCACTATCGCCACCTCAGTCCATGATTGAAGCATCATCACCGCATTCCCTTAATAAGTATGTACTGTACATTGGAAACGGTTGGTAATATTTGTCTTTAAATGTTCTGATAATATTATGGAGCACTGCTATAGTTGGTTGAGCCAGTATAGAGTAATATGGGTTAACAAATGTGATCTGAAGCCACAAGGTGAGATTGTATATGTTGAATTGATATTGGGTGGATATTTTTGTGGGCTTGCATTAACATTTCTCAGCATTTAGCTGCAGCACGTGATGTGTTATAGGTCAGGTTTATTTGTTTTTTTTTGTATACATCAGTCAGTTGTGCTTGATCTAGTATATTGCAATCTGTAAGTACATGTAGGTATGTAAGCCACTTATTAAGGAAAATTTTGAAAAATTAAAAGCTATGCTTAATAAAAAGGAACTAAACATTTGAACTTCTCCAGTTCAAATAAATGGAATATAGTGAAGTAATATATAAAATAAATATTATCCATTCAGTAAATATGAAACTACATTCATTCACTACATATATTATCCATTCAGTAAATATATAACTACAATACAGTATAGGATAATGTGGAGCAATCATTTTGACATAATTTTGAGGAATATTCGTAGCAAACAAAACAAAATTGGAGACAATGGTATTTGTAAGAAACCAAGGAAGACGTGCAAATATAGAATAGAAGAATAGAAAATATAGGAAAATGAATATAGAAGTTAGAATGATAAGTTCAAATAACAAACAATGTTCTTGGCAAGTACCCAGCGGGAGCACAGGGTGCCAAGCAACAACAAATTCTCAAAATTGGTATTAGGTAGGAGTTTATAGAAATACAGAAATAGTGTACCAGTTATAGTGATTAAAAGCAAAAGACATCAAATGACTTCGATAAAGGGTGACGATGGTATGATTGCACACAAAATATACACAAAAGGAAATGCTGGCAAAGTAGGAAGATATATTTTTAATTTCCTAATGGATAGAGCCTAGTGTGTAATAGTTAAAGTAAAATCTGGATCATCCATCACATAAAGCTGTCCCCCCCAGGGTACTATGCATTGCTCTAGTATTTTTCCTCATCCTCACATCAGACATAGACAAGAAAAACTTGAGTACCTTACAGATGATGCTATAATTTTGATGAAAGAAGACAATGTAGAGGACACAGCAAACCACCTAGTGGATGTAAATCAGGTCTTTCAATGGGCCACAGAAAATAATGATGTTTAATAAAGGTAAGTTCCAGCTCCTGCACTATGGGAGAAACGAGAATATAAAACAAGAAACCACTTATAAAATGCAGTCAAATCACACTATAAAATGAAAAGCAATTTAGAAGATTTGTGAGTAATCATGTTAGAAAACCTTATTTTTAAAAAACATAATGAAGTACTGTATCTGTCACAACTACAAGAAAAAGACAGGTTAGATAGCAAGAACATTTAAAAAAAGAATACCATACCAGTGACACTTTTCAAGACACTACTGATGCCTAAGGGTGGAATATTTTTGCACAATAACAGTCCCATTCAAAACTGGAGAAATTGCTGATCAAGAGAACATGCAAAGATAATTTTACTGCTAGAATCCATTCAATAAAAATCTAAATTATTGAGACCACTTAACATTTTTAGATCTTTATTCTTTAGAGTGCAGGCTGGAGAGGTACATAATTTACACTCAGAAAATATTAGAAGTACTAATTCCAAATCTACACACACAAATAACACCACATGAGACCAGGAGTCATGGCAGGAAATGCAAAGTGGTCACATTTTGAAAAGCAGAGGTGCATTGGGTATGCTGAAAGAGAATTTTATCAATACCAAGGATCCAAGACTTTTCAAAACTCTTCCTCTAAACATAAGGGGACATAACTGGGCCAACCTCTCGCAGTGTTCAAAAGAGAACTTGATGGACACCTCCAAAGGATACCTGATCAGCTTGGCTGAGATTCATAAGTCAAGTTGAGAGCAATTGCATCTAACAGCCTGGTTGACCAGACCACCAGCCAGGAGGCCTGGTCAGAGACTGGACCATGAGGATGTTGATCCTTGGAACCAATGCAAGGTAACCCTGTTAGGGGGCAGGAAGCATATGCAGGTTAAGGTCCCTCTTTACAAGGATCAACATGGTCACTCATATATACTATGATAAAACTTTAGTTTTATTGCTGAGTTTGTGGTTGTAATAGGTCAAGCCTGGCCTCGGGCCGGGCTTGGGGAGAAGAACAACTCCCAGAACCCCATCAACCAGGTAATACAGTGCTCTATTGACAGCTTGCCATTTCAGTTGTGCCAAGTCTAGCAGTTGATGCTAGGTAATTGAGATGTGTAGTATATTGGGCTAGTGTGAACATGATGGATTTTCTGTAGTTAATAACCTATGGTTATTTGTTCATTACTGATAATAGCAATACCTTTCTTATTCTCCCTTGATGCAGTCACACTGTATATTGTATTGAATAGTATGAATAGTATCTACTTTGAAGTTGCCTCAAGTATGCATTGGTAAATTTGGATAGTAGTAATATGAAAAGGGTTGAAAGATATAGAAGGTAAGAAGTATAATTAGTGAAAAGGCTGTGTATTTAAGCGCTGTGTTAAGGCAGCGGCAGCGTCTGGGATGCTCTCGGATGCAGGTTCGAATCCTCGTCACGGCCCTTGTGAATTTGTTCCTGTGTATTTAAGGTTTAGTAATACAAAAAGAGTGAATGGAGGAACAATAGTGAGAAAGATGATTAAGTGAATGAAGCAAATTTTACCTATATAATGGATTTCTAAAAAGTAAGGAAAAGATGTACAGTATTATGATAAAGCTGAGGTAATAATAATCAAGAAGAAGAATGACAAGGTAGTTTAAAGATGGAAAAAAAGTTTACAATTTTTTTAGAATTTGAATCTTAAGTTCAATAGAAATAAAAGGGTTTAGTTTGTTGATACATTCCTTTGAGAAAGGAAATGAAGAACAAATGTTTAGAATATGGGAAGACACCGGAATTAAGTCAGAAGAAAGGACATTGGGAAGATAGACATAGATGCTCCAGCAGGTTTCATAGTATTTGTCTTAAGTTGTGTGCAAGTAAAGGATGAATTCAATTGCAGTAGGGTAAATATAAATTATATACAGTACAATATTTTCAGCTTGAATAAGTAGGTACATGTATGTAGTTTTTAAGTAACAGAGACTTTGAAATGTTTATCAAATTAATTTGAACAGGGAAGATCCAAGGAAGAACATGGTTGTTGAGCTTTTTCTAGAAGTTTTGTTAATAATGTATAATAAACACATTTCTGTAAGAAAAAAATATTGAGGTTTTTGTTCTCTTTTGTTTCATAAATAATTCTGTACATATAATACTCATTAACAAATTCAACATAATATTCATTGTTTTTCAGAGTTTTCCAGAATGAGATGCCCATTTATATTCCTTGAACACAACAAACACGTGCAAATATTCAGCAAACACTTGTTGGGAACAAGAATAGTTGTTTTTGAAGTTTTTGTTTAATGCTCAACATGTTTGCCCTCCCTTTCAATATTCCTCTGGAGACATTTCAAAAACTATCCATAAGGTTTTGCAATCACCGATGATGCTCTGAACATCAGTAGTAAAACAAACACGAGAAAAGAACTGATCTGGATGACACTTGACGCAGTACTTTCACACACGCACACACACATGCACGGAACACAAATACAAACTTATATTTTTATCTACTAAGTATGGTATTTATATAATTGCAATTGATATTTGGTAATTTGTATTAATTGAATACTTCTTTACATAAAATCCTTGAATCATTCCTGTCATACCCATTTGTTTAATAAGTATATACAGGTATACAGTACAAAAGATTGTGTTCAGCAAAACTGGTAATAATAAATTTTCATTAATCAATTTTATAAATGCAGTATTTATATATATATATAAATTTCCTCAGTAGATAATTCAACTCGGAGATCTGTTGGCACAAGTTTATGGTCAAATTATTACCTCATATTGGATTCACTTGATTATACTGAGTACACTTACAGATGGAAGAGGTGGGTATGGTCTTGAAGTTAAGCAGAATGGTGCAATGTTTTCTGGTGCCAGGTATATCAAGTGTGTTTCCTCTCTGGTCTGGTTTTTCTGATTAGTAAACCCTTGGAGAATATTTGATTCAAATGATATACTGTATTTTGTTATTGATTACTACTGAAGGGTTGCATATTATCTTAGGGTATTCAACATTTTTTGAGACATTATTGTTCATAAACACTTTTGCTCTTTCTCACACATTTACTTACTCAAGTCAGTTATAATATACCAGTTACCAGAGCAGTTAGAGGAGATGAAAGGAATGACAAAGAGTGTGACTTGAAAGAGGTAACAGCAATGATATGGATACGTTTATCAAGTGAGGTAACACAATAGACTGTGATAGGGAGGGACCAAACTGAGTATGTGCAACTGGTTAGTGATAATCTGAACCTTGATCTATTATGTATCATACTAGCAGAAAAGATGAAGTTGAGGGATGAGTGTTCATTCTGGGAGGTGTACTTAAATGTATTATGAGACAAGATGGAAGGCATACGAAGGGGATGGTACCTCAGGTTCCAAGCACGCACCACTGGCAATTCAACTGTAGCACAGCTTTAGCTCTCAAGCTGTCTGACAGGATTTTCCTACAAGTATACCACCCCCAAGTATAGTAGTGATAAGCATTTTGATTAATGTTTTGTACATAAACATGGATGGTAAAACAAAAATAGGGGGGGGGGACTTCATGAGAAGGTACAGAAGCTAGAGCCACATGTCATTGCAATTACTGAAGCAAAGCTTTTAAAAACATAAGGGGTGTAGTTTTTAAAGGGGCTGTTATGTGGTCAGGAAAGAGAAAATCAACAGGAATGGAGTGGGAGTATCACTTCCATTGAAAATTCAATAAAAATACTCATATTAAGTGCTTATCAAGTAGAATAAGCTTGAGGCTGTGGCAGAAGCAATCTCCATTTATAGCTTCAAGGCCAAGTATGACAGAGTAATGTAATGTGA